TTTTAGGTGAAAAAAAATCACCCAAAATTTTATTTGAAAAATGGGTCCAGTGAAGTTGGAAACGTGTGGGTGTGAAGTCGGATTTTGAATCTGAGGCCCAGAAAGCTCAAACAAAAACCGCTGGACGGAATTGGACGATTGTTGGCTCGTTAGAAAGCCCTGAATGAGCTCTACAAGATGGTATTATGCATGTACCCGTACGCTAACCCTAACTTGCTAAAAATTAGGGTTAACAACTAGTGCCATGCACAGCGACTTTGGGGCCCATTGCATGTTACCTGTTACCTAATTTTGGTGGTGGGGTAACAAGGTAACTACCCTGACATTCCATCATCCAAAATTCACTTATAAAAATTTCCAAGGTAATGTTACCCAGGTAACTTTGAGGTAACCAGATACTCAACCCTAGTGGGTGTTATGGTGGAACATCTTAGGGTTAGAGTCCCCAGATACTTAACCCTAGTCAGTGTTATGGTGGAACATCTTAGGGTTAGAGTTTCCACTACTTAACCCTAGTGGGTGTATAGTTAATCATGTTAGGGTTAGAGTTCCCATTACTTAACCCTAGTGGGTGTATAGTGAATCATGTTAGGGTTAGAGTTCCCATTACTTAACCCTAGGGGGTCTATAGTTAATCATGTTAGGGTTTTATTGACCCCTACTTAAAACTAGCTGTGCTCATAGTTAATCATATTAGGGTTATTTTCTTTTCTTGGAGAATCTACTAAACTATGATCCCAATTTTTCCACTCATCAATTTTCAAAATATCATTCAAGTAATCCTTGTTACCTACAAAATTTTTGTGGAAAGGTAACATGTAACCACCCTGTGATACCATCCCCCAAACTTCTCCAAAAATATATGTAACTTACCTTAAACAGATTTTGAATAAACCAAGGGTTGGAAATACTTCTTCACAACTTTAACTTCATCTAATCTAACTCATAAGAAGCTTCCATTCCCTACTCTCCCTACTTCTCCCACAATTCCAATGCAAAACTTCCTTCCATCATTTATCTATCACACTTCCTTTCCCTCTTGTTTCAATTATCTATCCTGAACTGAACTTGATTTTTATCTAACCCACCAGGAACATCATCCACTCCCTCCACACTTCCCTCCCCCCTCTACCCATGCCAATTTCACTTCTTTCCTTCCTCTACATGCCTTACCCTTTCAGAACATCTAATTAATTTATTTCACATTCTTCGCCTACCATCATCTCATCTTAATCAAAATAGTGTCAGGATTGCTACTCTCCAATTTCCAACCCAAGCCCCCATCTTTTGTCTTGCTTGAAATTTACCATTCCACTTCTGCCAAACATCTAAGTTCTTTTCTATCCATTGGTGTGTCATTTCAACTGCTCTTTGTTTTTGTCAGCCTTTTTATGGGTGGATTTTTCCTCTTGTAAGTTTCCCTTGTAAGGGTTATTTATGTCATACCCAGAATCACATCTCTTCCTTTTATACTATCAATACTTCTTCCTGCTCTCATGAATCACCATGCTTCATTCCACTTCTGCCAAACATCTAAGTTCTTTTCTATCCATTGGTGTGTCATTTCAACTGCTCTTTGTTTTTGCCAGCCTTTTTATGGGTGGATTTTTCCTCTTGTAAGTTTCCCTTGTAAGGTTTATTTATGTCATACCCAGAATCACATCTCTTCCTTTTATACTATCAATACTTCTTCCTGCTCTCATGAATCACCATGCTTTTTTCTGTTTTTCTTTGTTCTGTCTTTTTTTCTGACAATGCCTTTCACTCTTGGATGATTTTGCTTGACTGTTTTTGTCATCACCTATCTCCCAACGGATTTTTCCTTTGTAATTAGGAATTCAAAAGGTAGTTCACACAATCTGCATAAAACATTTACTTCAGGGCTGTTTTCTTTGCAACCACTTAACCAAGATCCACCACAAACCTTCCAATTGGGTTCTCAGACACAGAATAAACAAAGACATCACAGAATATACACACTCAAACCTGCAGTCCTGTACCTTGCCCTGTCTTTCCTCTAGTCATCTATCTAATCCTCTGAAACCCTTACCTATTTCAATTTTTCTTTACTTCTCTCATATCAATCCCAATTGAGAACATTTACTTGTTAACTTCCCAGTCTTTTCTACTCATATCTCTTAAGGTGAATTGAATTCTTTAAACTAACTTCTTAACTACTATTTTGTTCCAGCTTTTTCTTACAACATGTCATTGAAATGTTCTTTTTACCCCCCACTCTTATCTTCTATCACACCCAACTGATCTCAATTCCTCCTATTCTCCCTTTGCTGTTCTCCACTATATCATCTTGTAACCTAAATTGTTTCTTTCTTTTCCTCGATCACAACAAAGAAAGTAATGCAAAATGCATGGATTCTCTCTGTTTCACTGATTATGTGATGTTTGGATTAGAAGAGGTTTCCCAACCCATCAATCTATAGGTATCTTCCACTGTTTACTCCATGATCTCAAGTGATTTTCTCAATTTGTTTCTCCTCCACCTTGAATGATAGGCTTGTACATTTATAGTTACTTCAGTAATTTAACCATCTTTGAATACTGGTGGATCAATGTACATCCCTGATTCTCTCCCAGGGACTCAGGGGCATTCAAAACCCACTCAGTGGACCTTTTCCCCAATGTAACCTTGATACAGTTACCTGGTGTTTTCTAATCATGTACTGACTTGGATTCCCAAGTTATTTTTTTCCAAATTGGTAATCCTATCCCTCCTGATGCCCCCATGAAAACTAAAATGCCCCTCACCACTGAGTAATGTCACTGGGGCTTTTTTGATTTTCCACTTCTGGAATCAAATCCTGTTGACAGGGTTGAAAGAACACCAATCTTCACCTTTTTGTATGGCATGTGTATGGTTTTGAAAAATTGACTTCCTCCACAGGCCATCAAGAGAGTTGCTCTAGTATCAACAAATTTCCCAACTGGGGAAAAAATTCTTTCCAAATGATAAGTCTATTTTTATTTTTCTCTTTCAACTGTTCCCCTTGATTTCCCAAAGAGTCATGGTTGGAATATGTTGACCCTCAAGTTTATCAAATCCAATCACTTCTTTCTGGCTGAATTTTCTATTTCTTTTTTATTGCTTGAGCAACTTTTTATACCCAGCATATCAGCAGTTGATTATTTTTCTTATATCATTTTTGATTCATTTGTGTGGGCCTTGCATTTTTATCAATCAGGTCTCCATAATTTTTTTTTCTTACAGGGTGGAGGGTTTGTTACTTTTTGCCCTGCACATTGGCATTTTTTTTTCTCTTTGCCTTTGTATAAAAATGAAAAAGGGTTTACCTCTGTCATGTGTACATGCTTTATGGAGTGTAACTCTACATAAGATCACGGTGATGATGATGAAATTGGAGTTCATGGCAAGATCAGGGTTTCTATTGTATGATGATCATAAAACAGGCAAGACTTCCATCTTCCTTGTGCTCTGTTCCACCCTCCTCAGGATGGCTTTCCCCTGTTTAACAATCACATACCCAAAACACACAATTACAACTGGAAGGCTTTGTGGATTTGTTTTTGGTTTCTGGCAGAAGTAGATTTTAATGGAAAATATTCCAATGAGAATTATCTTACCACCAACCATTCTCTTTTACTCAACTTTCAGCACTTTTGTGATACTGATGACATGCTCGTGCAATTCTTCTTCCTTACAAGTGCCATCACAATCCGTGATACCTGTAGTTTCTAAGGGTTCGTCGCTTAATGTTAAACTTGTTAATAGTGTGATTTCGAATAACTTGTTGAGCTGAGGTCCCATTCCGTGACAGAGGAGCAAGTTATTATCCTACTTTATTCAAGAAGTGGAGACTCAAGGAGAGTGATTTTAATTCCTCAGATGGGAACAATCCCCCAATTAAAAGGGGTTTTTGGTTAAGAATATTTCAAGATATGTTTTAACTTCATACTTTGACTCAACTGAGTAGAGAAGCTTGGTAATCGATTCCTGTGGAAGCAAATTGAGTTTCAGTTGTTTGATCTATTTCGCTTCATTTTTTTTGATATCAATCGTACTGCAGTCATTTCATTACTCCTTCTATTTTGCCTCTGTATGATTTTAAACAAATAATGAGTTGGAATGAAAATACATAACATTACTTAAAAATTATAACAAGAGCATAACAATTGAGAATAACTGCAAAATTATATCTCAAGTTTATCGTTGTGGAAGGGAGCGGCAATGACTAGTTTTTTTGGCTTCTTTGGGCCTTTTCACCTTTCGCCTTTTGTTTTGCCTTATTCGCGTGAGTGATGGTGGTCTCGCGAGTGGTGTGGTTGAACTGATGACTTTTTTCTCTGCACAAGGTTTTGTGATCAATGTTGTTCTTGAGAATGGCTGTGGTTCAACGTTGCTTGCTTCCTTAAACCTAATCCTGTTACAATCTTATATCATCATCAGAATTCTCTTATTTTGGCTTTGGCTCCATTCGCGTGAACACGTTTGATCACGCGAGTGGAGTTAAGAAAAGCAAGACTATATTTAAAGATGAATGGTGTGGCAGCAGGAGGAAAAAATGAGAAAAGAAGCCTGATTTTTTTCCCTGTATGAGGACTAATTGGGCCCTTTTTTTTCTATGCTTCTTCTTTCCCTGTCTATGTTGGCCGCCCCCTTCCCATTCGCGTGACCAATGCTGTTCCCGCGACTGGCTGTGGTTCAACTTTGCTTCCTCAAGTCCTTATGATATCCTCATCTGCTCTTTTCTTTTCAAGATTTGTCCCCATTCGCGTGAAAGCCTTGGGTCACGCGAGTGGACTGGCCAGCGGCCTGCTGATTTAGGGTTTCGGTTCTTTCACTTTGGCTGGTCTCATTTGCTGCCTTTCCTTTCTCGAAGGTTGGTCTTGGTAAATAGTCTCTCTTCTTCTCTTTAGACTAACTTTATATTACTCATGTCTTATTTCTTTGCAATTTTCTTTTTAACGCTATTTACAAGATATTTCTCGATTAACGCCCTTCTTTGTTGACTCACTTTTGATCATTATTCACTGGGGTCACGACGTGGGTCTGTCCCACTACTTTCTGGTTCTTCTTCTGACGGCGGTTCTGATAAGGAAGAACTACCATCACTGCTTCCACTCTTCCCAGTCTTGGTTGGTGGGACCGGTGGGACCTGGGATACTCGTGATTCCTCGTCCTCTTCCTCCTCGTCACTCTCATCATCCGATTCCTTCTCTTCTCCAGCCTCCTCATCGCTGTCTTCTTTGTTGCTTTCCTCGGCCTCGGAGTCGCTGTCCTTGTCATTGGAGTAGTCAGTTGTCGTTTTTGGTGGTTGTTTCGCCTTCTGTAGTAGGGAATAAGCCGAGTGTCCACTGGGTGATCGAAAGTTAGTGTGTTGCCTTTGTCCTGGCGGTGGCGTCTGGCTTGCACGATCGAGTAGCATATCTCTTCCTTCCCTTTGTTCCTCCTCCTCTTCGAGTAGCCTAGCTGCTTCTCTTTCGTGCTCCTCGTGTGCTTCGATGACTTTTTGGTAGTGGTCTTCAATCGTATCCGGCCAGCTACCCATGAGCTTCGATTGCAAGGAATCTGCCTTCTCCTGGAAAGATGGGTGAAGCTTGACGTCCGGGGCCTCCTCTCCGTTGAAGTTAAGAGTCTTATTTGGCTTTTTTGCACACATCTCTGCCATGAGGTCTTGAATAACATATCTGGATATAGTCTTTTCCGTGAGATGCTTTGCCCAGAATCGAGGAGCTGCCTCCCAGTCTACGTCCGAAGGAAGCACACAGTTCATGTTAGTTTTTTTAAGGAGCCATCGGACGAAACTGTCGGTCTTGTCCCATGGGGTATCCTTTCGACCTATTTGGTTGATGTGTTGCTTGTCGTAAAGCCAATCGTGCTTAGCATGGGCGAGATGAACAAAAGACCAAACGTCCCGCTGATTAAAGTTGTGAGAGTCTGTCAGACAGTGCCACCAGCCGGCCGTGCCAAATAGGAAGAAAACCGCCATGGAACCGAATGCAGATAGTCGAATCTTTCCCCACTCCTTCATCTCCTTGGTCGAATTCAGGTCCTTGACGTCGCCTTCCTTGAAGAGGGATCGTTCTCGATTGTATTCGCTCATTTTAGCTGCTGCTTCCAAGGACTTGTCGGGGAAGTGCTTTTTCTTGATGCACTCTTCTAGGTAATCGATGAAAAAAGAATTTTGCATCATGAGACAGCAGAGTAAAGTCTCCCAGATGCGCTTTTGAAGGACTAGTAATCTGTTTGCTGTCCTTCCATTTCCATTCGTATTCAACGTCGAAGCCGCGCCTGCTTGAATAGTTTTGATCTGCCCAATCACGAATCGCCCAGCTTCAAACAGCGTGTCTTGCTTCCAATGGATGAAATCTTCTTTGCTGACGGGGTTTGGGTTCAGGTAGAGGTGGAGGTTATCTGTACAGGATTTGGCGAGGCTATGTAGCTTTCGAATAGCACTTTGGAAGCCGCGGCATGTCTCTGGGTCTTCTGTGAAATCGTCTTGGTCGTCGACTCGAATCATCATACTGTACAAACTCTTCCAAGAGGCGCACTTGAAGGAGCCGTTGGTTGTTGCGGCTTGTTTGACTGTCTCTATGTTGAAGACTTCCCGCTTGAAGAATGGATCTCTAGCGCCCAGCTGCAGTAACCTGGGGTCTGTGATTGCGGTTTTGGATGTGTCTCTGAGTCAGCCATCCTCTTATTGCTAGCTATGCAACTGAAATACTCACTTGAACTGATGCAGTGCCTGAAATCTGGGTCATGAGCTACTCCTAACGCCTGGATGGCCTCGACTGAGGGGGTGAATAATTCTGGCATTTCGTAAAATTCGTCGCACTCTGTGTCACCTGCTGACCATTGGACCATGTCGGCAACTAGTTCCATTAATTCAGGGCCATAATCCCATTGGGGATTTCGAGACATTTCCAGCATGGTCGAGTAGAGGTTGTGCATCCTCACGCTTTCCGATTTCTTCCTGATTTTGGTTAACAATGCTAAATGGATCAGATGATCAGTTACTTACTACGTCAACTATTGCCATTTATGATTCAATGATCTACTTACTCCCTGGTTGAGGGGGATCATTGTAAGGACTTTTTTTCTTTTCTTCCCGTTTTCTTTTTCTTTCCTCCTGGTTTTGTTTTCGAGCCTCTGGAGTTTCCTCTTGTTTCTTGTTCTTTCTTCCTCCTGCCTTTTTTTTCCCCTTGGTTGATGTGGCTTCTTTTGACTCGGTCGATGGTTCGTTTGGCAGGGGAGACGGTTCGTTTGGCAGGGCAGATGGTTCTTTTGTAGAGATGGACTTTTCTTTTGGAGGTTGAACATCCTTGGATGACTTGGTGTTTTGGCTTCTTGTGGATGATCTGGTCATAGGTCGAGGTGGTTCCGGTCGGGTTTCTGGCCGCGGGTTTTGATACAAGACAGTGATTTCGGTGGTCTTCGGATGGCTAGCTGCTTCAGATTGGTTGTTGTCTTGGGGTGGCTTGGAGGTAATGATCTTGGGTGGTCCGTCATTGGATGTAAACTCCGACAAGATAATCTGTTGGGCTGAGTTTGAGCAATCACGTTGGCATGAATATCAGTTTGATTTAATTCAGTCATTTGATGAATATTATATGAGGACATACATGATTTTCGTGCCCTCTTGGTCTGGACAGGGCTTTCGTCTTCGTCTTCGATATCAGACAGGCCTTGGAGATCAGAGGTTACGGTTAGCCTCGGCTCTGTTGAGAAATGACTGTAGATGAGGTGACTTACGACTAGCACGCTTGAGTCGTCGCTCACCTAAGCAGCTGTTAGGATAGTCGTTATCGTCTCCGGTCAAGTCAATCAAGTCGACAACCTCGATTTCCTTGGAGATTCCGGATTTTCCTGCGTCCTGGATTCTCCCTTGTAACCGCCTGCAAAAGATGTCGACCAGACTATTGTGGGAAGCCAGATTATCATAAGCGCTAGGGGTCTTGATGTGGTGTCCACCGATTCTCAATTCTTCCATTGATTTGCACAGGTGATCCCTGGTTCGGCTCCCTGGAAATTGGGAGTGGTGAGTGCCTCCGACTTGGGATTTGTTGTTTGGGATTCATTGGGTGCTTACATATGGAATGCATGTCTTTCATCTCTTCGAGTGATGCCTTGGCAAGGCTGGGGATACCCAGGGCGGCTCCAATGGTTGTGGTAGTTGAAGGCATTCGAGAGAGTTTTCGGCTGGGGTGTGGGGTGACATGGGCCAACGATTCTGGATATATTTTGGCTGGAGGTTCAACGTCATTCAGGGGATCTTTTGTTTCCTGCGTTTCCTGCGGTTTTGGGATTCCGGTGGATTCAGGCTGGATGGAAGAAGCTAGTTGAGGCTCAGATGATCTGTCGGCTCTGGCGTGGGCTGGTGGTTTGGGTCTAGACAGGCCACTGACCGCTCTTTGGATTTGGGTGTGGGCTGGTTGGGTCTTCATCTGATTGGCCATCCTACCAAACTGGATTGGGATGTTGCGATTGAACATCAGGTCAGGATAGTCTTGGATGGCTGAGTTGAATTGTTGTTTGTTCATCCATTCTCCGTTGGCCACTGCCTAGATTAGCCATGTGAGGGTTAGCTATGCTAACCCACGCTTGATGTTCAAAAAAACCCCAGATGAAGACTCACAATGAAGCCGTTTTCCCACATCTCTTGGACTCCAGTGTCTTCCTCCTCTTCCATCGATTCTTCTTTGTTGGGGTTGGCCATTGGTAAATGTTTGTCATACCATTTCCCTTCTTCTAATTCGGACGAGTGAAATGGTCCTGTTCTTTCTTCGCTGTCCGAGGTCGTGTACATGTTTTTTCTTTGAATGACTTTTTTCCCTTGGGTCTTCTTTTTTTTGGGAGTTGTTTTCTGTTTTTTTTTTCAAGGATGAGAGTAGGGTGAGGGTCAACTTTTGTTGTTGTGTAATCATCGTGGATGAATTGATCAATACGAAGGAATCTTAATCACCTTTGGGCTCAAAGGCTTTTTTGGGTCGTTTTCGTCTGGCGATTTGGTGACTCCCTTGGGTGGTTCAGTCTGGTCCTGGCGTTTGGTGACCTCTTTGGATGGTTCGGGCTCATCATCGGCTGGCCCATTTTTGGTTAATTGGGGGTCTATGTCCATCGCATCGTGATGTGTAGTCCGAAAATCTTCTGCAGTGGGTTTTTTCTTTGCGTTGGGTCGAGTGGCTTTGACTTTGGGCTGTGTGTGAAGCATGGATCAGTCCGTCTCATCCTAAGGTGTTTACATGGTTTAGATGAGTGTGCATATAAGCTTACTTTGTTGGTTTGTTTTTCCCTCTTAATCCTGGCAGAATGCCTCTTAGGGACATGGGTCCATTCAGTTCCGAGGCTTGGCTTTGCCTTGCCAGTTGGTCGATTTGGGCCTTTCCCAAGGGGTCCTGATTTTTCTCCGATGTCCTGACGGTTTAACTAGTTAGGATTGTTGGATCTCTTTCAGATTTCTTGGTCAATACTCACTTTCTTGGTTTGGATCTCCTCAACGATGCCAAATCCAGGTAAGTTGTATCTTAGAGGAGGCGAGTCCACTGGTGAAGTGACATTCGGGGGTGTGGAGAATGGCAGCGGGGGCCTCTCTTGTTTAGTGGGGCTAGTCATCTTGGTTTGATCTAGATCGATGGAGCAATCCCTGGGGAACTGTGGATGGGTAATTATTCTTGAGTCAGTTCTAGTTCAATTGGTCTGGTAGGCTACAATATAAATTTGAGACTGTACACTAGGGGTTGGGCTCGTGTCAACAGGATTTAGATGAGGTGTGTTGGTTATTTTCGTTTTTAATGTAATTGATTTGGTGGTTTCTGGGGGGAGGGGTTTGGGGGAGATCAATCAGTTGGATTTGGGGTTGGGATGATTTGTTTGGTCTTGATTAATCGGATGGTCCTAGCATTTGGGCAGGTATTGGTTGGTCCGAGTGTTCTACATTTTGGCAAAAGGTCCAGAGGGATGCATGGGGGCTACATCAGCTGGTAGATGCTCGTGTCATTCAATCGGACTGATGGGTCAGCTAGCTTGTTTGTTTCACTGTGTTTGTCTGTTTGAGGTTTTATGTGTCGATGGTGGGCATGTAGATAGTGCAAAGGTTGATGGTTTGTCTATCTCATGCTCCCTGCATGCACTCTGCAGTCCTGGTAAAATGGTGACTGATCATTCTTTGTGATTACGTCAATCAGATTGTATTCCAATCGTACAGTAATGATGCTATTGCTCAGTAATGCTATTACCAGTGGCTTTGATAGTAGACTATGTATGTTTGGAGCATCAAACATCATAGTCTACTGTCTGTTTGAGCTTTTATGTGTCTATGGTGGGCATGTAGATAGTGCAAAGGTTGATGGTTTGTCTATCTCATGCTCCCTGCATGCACTCTGCAGAGTGATCAGGCCATTCGAGTGGGCTTGCTTGTTCCTTCACGCAACAGATCTGGTGACTTCGGACGAAAACATTATTCTCTCTGTGGCTCACCTTATTCGCGTGGGCACACGGATCACGCGAATGTTTTGGTGATTTCGGCCAAAACGGGCAGTCTGCAATGTTTGCTTGGCTATCTTCATGGTGAGTCAAAGAGTCCAACAGTCAGTTGGGCCCATGGGTTCATGCGACTGCCGCCAAAACGGGCAGTCCGGCCAAAATGGGCTGTATGCAACGTTTGCTTGGCTATCTTCACAGTGAGTTGGTGAGTCCAACAGTCAGTCGTGTGGGCTATCTGTCAGTCGCGTGGGCTCGTGGGTTCACGCGACTGTTTTGTTGAGTTCAGCCTATGAGCGAACGAGGTTTCCTGTCGGTATCTTCTTGGTCTGTACCCCATTTCGGTTCCTTGTTTGGGCCCACTCTGCCTGAAGTCCTGATTGTTTGCCCCGCTGGCCGTAGTGTAGTGATGTTCACTGATTGGCCATGAATCTGCATACATAGTCTCGTCATTGAGTCTCATAAGCTTCTCATTCATGGGGTTTTGATTGCTTACCACACTCAATTAAACAGGAGGTTTCGGTCCGTGATGTTTGTATTCTGAAGCAAGACTCATGCCTTGTCGTGTGCAGCTATCATAGTGCAGTCACAAGTTTGATTATTTCCATGTAGCAGACTTGCTTGGTTTACCCCGCTTCTGCTCTTCATTTGTGTTTGCTTGGCTATCTTCTCAGTCGCGTATTCTCCTTTGATCACGCGACTAGTTGAGGGTGTTGGAAGAAATGGGATAATCTGCAATGTATTTTTGGTTATCTTCATTGTCGGGCCACCTTTGACTGATGCCATTGTTTCCAACAATCATCTTTGGTTGGTGTATGTTTTGGCCATCCGGGGGGTATTGTCATATGTTGGGTAGAGTGAACTCTTGTATGTTTTCACCTTTCTGATTTCTTTGCTCACAGCCGTTTTGCCTAGTACTACACCCAGGGCCCGCAGGGCCCTGGGTGTTGCGCCTTATACCATTTTCTGGCTGAGAGGCACAATGGTATAACGATTGGGCCCTTGGGGATCATTGTGGGAAATTCAAAACAACACTCCCAGTAAAGCTTCACACATCAATGGTACACGTCCTGATGCACCGACTCTCCCTTCAAAACATCATTAAAAAGTTTAACATAAAACCTCAAACCGGTGCTCTGTAACAGGTATCGCTACTAGCGATGGCGCACAAGACATTAATTCTTGCACTGAACCTGCACACCTTGACTAGACCCCATCCGCCACTCAGGGCCTTCTTAAATCCTTTTCTCGCTCTTTTGTCTTCATCCCTACCCCCGATTCCAATCCATTGATCCACTTGCACCGCCCCTAATCTTCTCATTGTCGGCGCATTTGCATCAACCCTTCTTCCTGATCCGCCACGATGCGCCCTTTTCGACTCCCTAATTCTGTGCCTTATCCAATCATTAGGCTGTTTGCATTCAGGCCTTCCCTATGATCCATGACGTAACCTAATGCATTCAATTGCCGACCCAGTCACAATGCCCTGTTCTCAATGCCCTTTTTTGGCTACTTCCCAACTGTTTACATCACCCCTCCACCAGGCCCTCACCATGACCCATGACTTAACCCGTCCACGCGCCTCGCTCTTTTATCTTTTCCATAAAGTCCCTCCACCCAAATGTGCCTCCAATTTTCTTTGTTTTTCTTACTTGAATACTTTGTTTGTTTTCCTTTTTCCATGTTTTGTCACATCTTTTTTGGAAGGTTGTTTCATAAGAAGATCATTTAGACCGAATATTTTTTTTTCTACATTTATCTTTTTCAGTAGCAGAGGATCAATATCACCTTTTGATAATGGCTTCAAGTTGAATGCAAAAGTAATCGGATCATACCACATGTTAACACCAACTTCATCAAATTTTACATCAAACATCAAACCAGAAAAACGTCAATACCAAGAAACTTTCGTTGTTTCTCAAATAAGGAAAGTTTCACTAGGAATAATAATACTACATATATACCCAAAACCCATTGCCGGATCAAATAATCGCTCAGCTTACTGCAGACCAATCGCCAGCGTTAACTCTATGTGTATATACCGATGTGATCGAAAAATTTAAAGGTTTTTATTATGTCTGTTTTTTTTTTCTAATTGAAGATCATAATTGACCTGGAGAAATTGTCACCATTTCACCCCGAGGATACATAAACCAAACATCAGCTGCCAATGATAATTTAAGAAACCTGGCACTGGAAACTCCCTTACCAATGCAACTTGCATGCTGAATACAACAGCCCCTGGATATCATTGACATAGTAAGATAGTCAGTAAGCTAAACTGTTGCAAGTCTTGCTTGCAAGAATGCTAAAGGTGAGTGAAGTCATGTGTACTCATCAGGATATAGCCGAGTAGAGTCCCACTAGGACCTGCTTGGCGAGTGACTTGCCACTTCCGAGAAATAAACCGGTGCCCATTGTGCCTCTAAAATGATAAGGTGAATCCATTATTGAGTTACTCAACCCACTCCCACGTTTACAGCCAAGTTTTTGGGAGATATGAGGTTGTCCTTGTGCGGCTCGGTATCATACTGAAGCGGTCTCGCAATCATTGTCATCTGATAAGCGGATGGTGTCGGAGAAGGCCTATGTAGACAGATGAAAGGACTCAAGGGAGGTACAAAAAGCACGCCTTGAGAGGTCCGGGGCACAATGTATTTATACCGAGGGAGGTCAGTGGCTCACATTGATCGCAGGAATGGTTTGCAAATGCAAAAGACCCAGGATAGGAAAGATTCTACAACTGGCAGATTTGATTAATTGGGATGAGGCCGTCGCAATGCATAAAGATGCAATTGAAACAGTGGACGGAACTCTCAAAGACTTAATGAACACCAACGATTGGTTCGGTGGCAAGAGTGTAATAGTTTTGGGCGATTTTAGGCAGACTCACCCTGCCTGTGGTGAAGTCAGGGGTTTATCAGAGATCAGCAGACACAACATTTAAAATCATCAAATCTTTGGCCCTATATGGCTGTCCACACTCTCAAGGATAATCTTCGTCTGGGAATTAATTGGAATACAAACTTTCGCAACAGGGAAAATATGGCTTTTGCTGAAGAATTATTAGACATAGGCGAAAGATGCGGCTTAGGGCCATACCAGTGGATTTCCAAAAAAAAGCTAAGTTCTGCTATAATCTAGTGATAAGTCATACAAATGTAGTAAATAAAATGATATTTATAGAAGAAAATACAAAGTCGTGTTCCGTACCGGATGTTCAAATGGCCTATTAACTTGAATTTTATTTCTTGGTTTTGTTTTGTGAATAAAGCATGGTGTTGTTTGAATTGAACTTGAGACAAAAACTACTGTCGGTGAAGCCGCCTCTAGACACTACTCATAAATTATGCCATGTCAATTGGAAAACTGTAACATGCAAGTCTTATTTGGCCCATCTTTGCCTCATGAGGTTAATTATGGCCCTTCTGGAGTAACTAGGGAACATCTTGGCTGGAACCAAGTTTCCAGGCCCAGGTATTAATATGTTATTCTCTGCATGTACATTCTGCAAAAAAAATCTGTTCTGTGTCACAACTTTGATTTCTCCTGACTTCTCGCTTTATGGACATTCTGGATGTGCAATAATGAATGACAAGTGGTTGGATGTACAGATAGGAAGTCACACTGGTATAAATTGACATTATAGGAAAGTGATTCCTTGGGAGCTGAAAAATTGCTTCAGGTGATCTGGCCAGTCTCTCGGGGAAGCTTCACCGCTCAGGACAAACCTATCTTGGGAGCAGTTGGGGTGGGTTAGTCGAGGATCCATAATAAATCCGAGGCCACTGATTTCCACCCAGTTGTCCCCCACAATAAACATAGCAGTTTGTTGCCCTCTTAAATTAGGATCTGTAATGGTCGTAGGGGACGTTTCCTTGAGGATCACAATTAAACTGACACTCATTGATTTTAGGGTAGGTACTCACCGGCTTGGACTACGTGCAGGGGTAGGTCGTCCACTATTGTTGTGTACTGCTCTGGTGTTGTGATTGGGGCTACATTATTGTAAGGTGTTGATCAGTTGAGATGTGAGCAGATTGGAGGAATATTGACCTTACTGACCTGGCACAAATTCTGCTAGGGGAATAAGCTCATCCTCTAGCTCGTCTTCTTGGGAGGCTTTGATATGTATGTTGACCTCTGCAAGATCGTTGCTTCCTTTTTGAGGATGAGTCGTTGGTGAATATCAGCTATGAGGAATAGTTGGTTATTCAGCCTGGGTGGAACTGACCTTCAGTTTGGGTGTCTCCACCAGGGAGGGTTGTATTCGGGGAATCGACTGGTATGCTGGACTTGTCTTTGGTGTTGGGCAAAGTAGCTTGTGATTGTCGTCTTTTCTTATGTTGCCATTCCCTGGCCAAAGCTTTGTTCGCCAATTTTTTGGGTTCCCACGTGGGTGCCCATGATTTTTGGGTGGATGGATCTATCCCTGCCCATTCGATCAAGTATTTTCCACCTCTCTCTTCCAAAATTTGGATGGCTGCCCATTCCTTGTCTCTTGGGTTGGTCTTTTTCATCTGAGCAATCAATCGACTCCTTTTCTGTCAGCTGATGTTAGGGCAATTTGTTATATGAATGGTTGGATACTTACTGTTTACAATGGTCTGGAATGGTATCTTTAGTTGATTTGTTTTGTTGGTCAGTGAGAGTTGAGTGAGGTCTCTGGGGTTAGGAGTCGGTCATCAACCAGGCTGATATGGTGGCTTGAGATAAGTATAATATATATATATATATATATATCTGATTCTTCCTTTGATCAACACTCCCGATACCTAGCACAGGTTGGTATGATGGTCAGATCCGGGGTGACTAGCAAACACTGAACTGGTCATATTTGACTAGTTCCTCAGTGATTCCTGCTTTGGATTGATGATCAGCTATTGGTCTTTTCTCTCTCCAGGTTTAATCCATCATAGACGTCAAGCTTGTGCCTATACCCTTCCTTATCATGTCACAGGATGACTTGATTAGATGTTGCTATATTGGCCTTTCATTGGATTTGTACTAGGATGACATGTTTTTTCCGACCAATCATTCCTGTTCAGCTTTGATGGCTGATCCATGTGATGCCCAACTGATCTTTCTATTTTGGTGGCTGTCACACCAGGGGTGTAGGTCCGATGTAGTTCATGAAGGCTCCACTACTTTCACTTGATTTTTGTGTTCAGTGTGGGATTCACCTAATGATCGGGTTCCATCTTTGTGTTACTATCTATCCGATCTTCTTCCTGTGATCTTTGTCTGTATTCATTGTTACTCCATGTCATGCATTACAGTGGTTAGTCTACTATTTTGGTTTTTTTGTCTACAGGATGTACTGTTCGTTTTGTATTGGACTGGTGCCAAGTTGGATGTTGCTCCGATCTGTGCCTGTTTTGATACCATTAACCATGGTCCTGCGACCTTTACTTGACTGAAATATGTAAGGGTCCCTTGTACCTACTAAGAAGCTGGAATCATTTCTCCTCCTTTGGAAAAGATAGACTTATACATCTTGAATTAAACATCTCTCTGGCTCGAATCTAACCATTCTATTGCTATCTAAGAAATATGCTCTCTGACAACACAACTGCTCCCACCTCAGCTCAACCTCCGAAGAACGGGGAGGTGTGTAACCGAGATGGCTGTTCCCTTGCATTCCCAAGTTCTAAAAAACTCAAAAAGCACCAAAGATTGGTGCACCAGCCTGAAGTCAAGTGCAAGATCTACGGAACCACGGACTCCGTTGTACTCTCGAGAAATGATGATCAAAAATTCGCTTGCCCAACCAATGGGTGTAATGAGACTTCTATAGACCCAGTTCGAATTCAGAAGCATGTCAAGAAATGCTCGCCAGCTAGTGTGGAGCTCCCAAGAGTTATGCCGAATCCTCCGAGGGACTTTGTCCATCTGGTGCAGCCTGTTGATCAGGTTATTGGTAAGATGTCTGGCCTTCATGATCTTCTTTACTTGTTGGCTGACATTTGCTGCATCCCAGTTATTCCAAATTATCACTGTTTGGTATACAACAGTTATGCCAAAATTCTTCTTTGCACGTCTTGTCATTATGGAATTTCGACCAATGAGGTTGAGGCACACATGTGGAATACTCATCGAGAGAGGGTGTCTGAGTCTCAGCTGAGAGGTGACTTTATGGCTCATGGAGTAGAACTCCCCGACGAATCTCCAAAGTTTCCGCCTGACCGAGTGGGAAGAGACTTCCTCTGCGAACCTGTGGAAGGCTTTCTAATGTATCTCGGCTACTTTTGCACGGCTGATCACGATGGAGTCGTTTGTGGCCACACCGTTAGGAAGGAGGGCTCTTTTAGAAACCATTTTGGTATGGAACATAAAAGTGGGTTCTGTCTGCTCTTTTGGTCTGGTTTTCCATGTCTTCCTGTCCTTGTATAGTTTTTGTTTGTTTTTTTGGCTGATTGATAGATCGTCCTTCCTCTCTGGGTCTTTTCTCTCCTGGCAGATTTGAACACTCATTGGAGTCTCAACTGCGAGAGAAGATATGTCCAGCATCTCAATCACCCCAAACAGAAGTATTTCTGTGTCAAATACAAGCCATCTTTGCCTCCTATGGTTGATGGACGATCTTGTGCCTCAGAAGACTTACCCGAACCAGGGCCTCAAGCTGGTCTTTGGTCTAGGCTACGAGATGAAATTTCGAAACTGGACGTCTTTTCGTTGACAGATGGCGGTCAGAACATTGCTCTCCATTCTTCGGTGGTTAGCAACTATCTTGAAATCTCGGGGATCAAGGTCCACATAGATTGCTGTGCCTCTTCAATGGGCTGCTCTCCTTCGGGGTTGTTCAATCATGTCAACTTTCCAGAGGAGACGTCTTCTTGGGTGACAATCGTGGACGAATGGTTGGAAAATCGTATGGAGTCATTGAAGGTAGCACACTATGGACTCAGGAAAGAGGGGCTCAAAGAATCGACGTAAGCTTTGCTCTCTTTCATTATATATCTTGTTTTTCCTCCTCGAAAGGGCTGCTTCTCTGGTCATGCCTCTATCTTTCTCTCAGTCGCGTGAGCACGGGTGCTCTCGCGACTGGTCAGTGTTCCTTTATATGCCTTCCTCCCCTCCTCCCTTTTTCTTCACCTGACTACTTGATGTTTGGCTGGTGCCTTTGGTCATGTCTTGTCTGACCTTAGTCGCGTGATCTCTGCTGCTCGCGCGAGTAAGTAGGTTGGCATTTGTCTACCTACTTAGTCGCGTCATCTCTGCTGCTCGCGGGAGTAAGTAGTAGGCAAAGGAGGTTTTATCTATTGAGCAAGTCGCGCGACCTCATGTGTTCACGCGACTGTTCATCATGTTCTTATCTTGACTTTCTTACTCCTCTCACCTTGCTTGCTTGGCTTATGTTTCTCCATGATGCTTGATATTTCTTCTCTCATGCTGACTTTGCCTCTTTTGGGTGTAAACAGGGATAAAGAGGCACCGACGGTAGGGCTGTCTCCATTGCAGGAGAAACAAACACGAACTCGTTATGCTAAAACCATAGCCAGGCTCCTAGTATTCACCTTGAATGCCTCTGATACTCCTCTCGCTTCCTACTGGTCTGGGAAACAAAAGTCGTTGATTAAAACCATGAAAGAGCTCTCTCGGCTAAAGTTGGCTGGTTCGACGTCCTCAAATGCTCACATCTACGACCTTCTAGACCAGTCAATGTTCAACTTTGTATCCTTCTCATGCTCTTTGGCGAAGCGTTCACGTGTTCAGTCGTCTTTGGAACAGTTCTTGGCCCTCTCGATGATCAATGAAGATGGTTCTTTCTTCTCTCCTCTGGAGTTGACTCACAGCATAGCTGCTGTGCAGTATGGTATTCGGCTCGGTACCATCTTCCACTGGGTCCACTTGGTGGAGACGACGGAAGAATTAGAAGACGATGATGACCCAACTAATGACAAGGAGATAGCAATGATGCGTTTTCACTTCTCCTGGATTTCTCAAGATAGCCGCGCCTCACCGTTTATGACTCTTCGAGATTGGATAAGGCTCGCCTCCACCGTAATCATGAATGAACAACTTCCGGATCAGACCCATTGGGCGGACTCCGAAATGACAAGGCTTGTGGTTGGATCTTCGACTATTACCATATGTGGCATTCAACAATCGTTGCGTGCGGTGATCACTAAGCTCAGAAGTGCTTTCCAATGCTTACTCAAAGGTTCCTCTCTCCCGGACTTCTTGCCTTCGAAACTCTCCGATGACTCCGGCAATATCAGGATGAATTTCAATTACCTAGTCGCTTCTGAGAATCAACAATTGTCGAGGTTTAAGATCCTAGAAGATTGGTGTGTTGGTGGGAACACCCAGGGGGTCCTTGCTGCCAACTGGTGTGAAGTGGTGGAGCACTCCAACTTTGATCAGTCAAAACTATGGTCACCTAGGGCGGCTTGGAAATGGCTGGAGGCGTCTGACGACATACTAGAATGGATTTACTTTATGTATCACGTTGGCTGTGGCCAACCAGCACGAGGGACTGAAGAATCGTGTATGCTCCTGAGGAATACGGACTCTGCGCCAAGGAATGTGTACTGGAGGTCTGGTCGATTGATGCTGCAAACCTGGTATCACAAGGGCCAAAATTTGACCCACCGTTCAAAGCCTAGGCAGGTATACTTGACTGGAGAGTTATCGATGCAACTGCATAATTACTTGGCTTATATTCAACCAGTCCAAATGTCAGCTGGTGTTTGTTTTCAGAGTTTATCCAGTGCTATTCTGTCATTCATTGACTAACATGGGTTCTTTTGGTTCCGTATGTATAGGGCGATCTTATGTGGACTTGGTCAGAAGGAGACTGCGATGGACATGCAAGATTTCCTTTGGGTTACCTCTCGAAGGGGCCGATTGCAAACTAATGACTTTAATCGGATATTAAAGAAGGGCTTTACACTTGGTGGAAATGATGGACTAGGCATAAGGGGTTGGCGGCAGGCTTCAGTGAGCATAGTTGCAGCACACCTATCCAACAGATTCCCCTCAGCACTCTTGCCCAACAACAAGACAGCTTCCCAAGACCTGGAAGAAGACATGGGCTTGAATAATGCGATGGATCTCCAACGAAATCACTCCTCAGCAACTGCAAATCTTCTTTATGGCTATAGTAGTGGGACTGGTGTCATCAGGGACGGAGAGACCAACTTCATGAAAGCAAGTGAAGTCTGGCAGAAGTTTTGGGGTGTAAGTTGCTTTGCTTGTGAATGAGATATATGATTGGAAGGGTTTGTTAAACATAATTTATTGCCTTCCTGTTAGATCGAGTCTCATTTGGCTTGTCAGCAGCCCTTGCTGCCAGTACCTGAGGCACTTTCCCCTGCAGAGAAGGCCAGACAGGCACTGACTATCTTTACCAAGAATCCCGATGCAAGATTCAGATCCGAATTTCAACACAACTGGGTGACTGAGTTGTTCCGGAAAGATTTGAAGGATCTGCTGGTGGTGGCTAAGACTGGAGGTGGTAAATCGCTGGCATTCAAGCTTCCGTCTTTGGTCTTGTTGCATGAAAGAACTGTACTCGTCCAACCGATCAATGCCTTGGTGGATCAGACGATGAAAGACCTCAAGAAACTGGATGGCGTGAAAGCTCAATTGTATACCCCAAACACCAAGGTAGACCCCAGCGCTCAAATCATAGTGGCACTATCGGACCACGCATCTAAATTTGACTTTGAGAACCAACTTCGAACAAATCGACCCACCCAAATCATCATTGATGAGGCCCATTCTTTACTGGAGGACACTTATAGGCATTATTTGCCTGGGGTTGTAGCTCTTGGACAACTGACATCTCAGGTTGTGCTGATGACTGGCTCCCTTCCCCCCTCTCAAGAGGTGGACTTGCTGCATGGAATCTTTGGCCGAACTAGACTGGTCTGCAAACGAGAAGTGACATTCCGACCGGAACTAACGATAGAAGTCCGTCGAACATCATCGTCCATTACTGAGCTCGCCGATGTGGCAAAACAATTAATTCAATCCCACCTGTCAAGGAGAGAAGACCGAGCGATGGTCTTCATTGAGGATCGGAAAATGGTGACAAATGTGGGAGCTCAGCTGGGCGCTTGTATCCACCACTCTGGACTAACGGAAGATGAGAGGAAATCTGGTGCTGAAGATTGGATAACTAGGGACCGAGGTGTTATGGTAGCTACCAGTGGGTTTGGGGCAGGGATAGACTATTCGCATGTTAGGCTAGTTATTATCTATGGGGTTCCCAATGAGTCGGAAGCGAACATGGTCTATCAACAGATTGGTCGTGCTGGAAGAGATGGAAAAAGTGCTCGGATTGAAATCATACCCGGACCTTCTGATGTGCTGAATCTTGCTCATGGAATCCAACCTGGAATGGACGATTTCAAAAGGTCTTTGGTGAATCCCTCCAACTGTCCAGCTATGGTTTTTTCGAGACTTGAGGATGAAGTGGAGAGAAGCTGTCGGAACTATCCCGATTTTCCTCAATGCTCTGTTTGCACGACCTTTGCCAAGAATCTTGGTGAATACGTCCCATATGATCTAACTACAAGTGTTGTTCAGATCCCAATGACTCTGACTCCGATCACTACAAGGTCCATGGACTACAAGAAAGACTCAGGTCTTGTTCAGGAAACGACTAGTTCACCTAACAATACAACTGTTGAATCGTCCCCCATCTCTACCCAAAGGTGCCACAAGTCATCTCCAGCCTTTGTTCCTCCTCTCACTCGGAATGCGTTTGGAAAGCGAATACGAAGCCCCGAACTTGATGAACAATCTATGCAAACCATGCTAGAAAGTGACATTCGAAAGGTGGCCAGGTTGGGTGAGGAGGGTCGTATCCAATCCTTAGGTTCAGACTTGGTTTCGTCCTCTGGTGGTGCCTCAGTCAATCTGATCAACTCAAACGGGTTGGTTAAGAACGTGGCACTAGAGACTCACCAGGCTGTGATCTTGAAGGACTTCATCTCGAGGCTCAAGGGCAACTGTCCAGCGTGCTATTTCAGATCACAGACTTTTGTCAGACATTCGAAACCTTCAGCATGCAAGAATCTAGTTCATAGATGCCTTAGATGCAAAGCCTGTGCGTATTGGTTTAGTTATTTGACACTGGTTACCTTGATGTGCATGCTGATGCTCATGATATCTTTCAGCTCAAACAGGGCCCAACAGTCACGATACCAGCAACTGTCCCTGTGAATATCTGTCCAAGTCTTTGAATGCTGGAACTAAAGGAAAAGGGTTTTGGGTGTGCTTCAGATGTGCTTTGCCAGCTGGTACGAGTGACAAACATCAATTCCACCCAAATGGCCTGATTGCATCTCAGTGCGAATCAGACTTTGAAGGGGTGGCGGAGACTTTTGCATGGTTTATGTATTGGGATAAGAACACTGTCCTCCTGGATAATTTTCCTGGGGTAGCTGACAAGACTCCATCAGAGTTTGCTCTTTGGCTTGGGTCAACTGATCGTTGTAAGGGTCCAACATTTTGGCCCAATGTAGTCAAGCTGGTAGTTGCTTTTGTAGAACATGAATTGTTTCAATGTGCTCTTTCTGATTAAAATCTCCACACAAACTACACTACAATGAGATAACAATTTTCACCTAAATATAATATTAGCTGTCCATTAAACCCACTTATGGTGTTAAGAGGGCATAGCCCCCATTTTTTGAGTCAGAAGAGGGTTTTAATTGAAAGGGAGAACAGGGATTAATTAGGTTACTCCAGATTTTCTGGTGATAAAAGGCACATCAATTAGCAGAATGATGATAAAGATGACCTGAAAACAATCAGTGTAATATGTGAAACATAATTTGAAACAGTATTGGATTCTTTCATGATCAAGGCCTTTGAAGATATTGAAGAACCTTGTATAAATATTAACATTGCAAAAAGTAATTCCAATTCCAATAGGGGGGTTCAAGATTGAACTGGAAGTCCAGATTTAAGGTGTTTCTGACCATAATTGTACAATTTTTGTGAGGTATGGATGGTTCAGAAACCAATAAATGGGCAAATATTGAAAAATTCTTAAATTGTTGCTCATAAATACCTTGAAAATCACTCTAAAGTTTAATTGTGAACCCCTCTAATGTAAGATACATTCATAGGAATAAAATAGATCAAACAATCAGGATATTAATTCTGCCCCTGGTCAGTGGCAAGTGGCATTTCCTCCTAGACTAGGGAATAGTCTGGCTGGCCCACATTTTAGATCTCTCCTTAGTGAAACTGGATAACAAAGGGAAAAGTATACATTAGGGGGGGGGGGGGTTCATGTTTTGCTTTTAAAGCCAGTTTTAACATCTTAATGAGCAGCATTTCTAATTCCTGTGGGTTTCTCAGATTTGGGATTTTCTGAACCCTGTGTGAATCCTAAAAGGACAAATGGATCCAAATCCCCTCATATATGGCCCTAAAGTTCAGTTTTGAACATGAGTTTATAATTGTTAGTTGCTTTCAATTCTAACACATAAATCCATAAACAACTACTGGCTTGGACCATCTGACATAATCCCTGCAAGATTGATTTACATTCTCCTTTTTTCTTATTCTTCACAAGGGCATAGCCCCCATTTTTGGGGTCAGAGGGGGGTTTTAAATGAAAGGGAAAACAGGATTGGATTAATTAGGTTACTTGAGATTTTCTGGCGATAAAAGGCACATCAATTAGCAGAATGATGATAAAGATGGCCTCAAAACAATCAGTGTAATATGTGAAACATAATTTGAAACAGTATTGGATTCTTTCATGATCAAGGCCTTTGAAGATATTGAAGAACCTTGTATAAATTTTAACATTGCAAAAAGAAATTCCAATTCCAATAGGGGGGTTCAAGATTGAACTTGAAGGCCATTTTTAAGGTGTTTCTGATCATAAATGTACAATTTTTTGTGATGTGCAGAAGGTTCAGAAACCAATACATTGGAAAAAACTCAAAAATTTTAATAAAATGTTGCTCATAAACACCTTAAAAATCACTCTAAAGTTCATTTGTGAACCCCTCTAATTTAAGATACATTCATAGTAATAAAATAGTCCAAACAATCAGAATATTAATTCTGCCCCTGGTCAGTGGCAAGTGACATTTTCTCCTAGATCTCAGTCCTCCATCCAATGCATGAATACCCACAAATATCAACTAATTCTGAGGTGTAGTAAAAGCCTTCAAGTCACTATGTAGATTTTTTTGGTGCCAAAGCTTCAATGAAACAGCTTAAAAATTGTAGCTCTACTAAGAGTCCACTGATTCTACATTAACACTATTAATGCCCAATTGGTATGGCGAAATTCAGCACCCCAGTCTTGATCTGAGTTCTACTTTTGGATGTAAGATTATTTTGATGTGTTGTGTCATTTTTGCAATTTGAATACTCTTGAGATATTTCTATGAAACTCTAATTTATTCCATCATACCACACCACAAAATCAATTCTATGCAAAGGAGCTGTGTATGTAAGCATTTGCAATAATATCATTACCTCTTTTTTTAGGTTTTTTTGTATAGCTCTATTGTATTGATGTGTACTTCTCTTTTTCATATTCATTCTTTGGAACCCATTTTCCACCATTCCAAAAACTTTTGTGACTTGGAGGTTTTGGTTTCCCTCTGTGGAGCTCAAAACAGATGGCTATAAACATCTAGTGTTTTCCTCAGGCACGCTATGGGTGCCAAATGGTGTCTACCTGTCTACCTGGTATAGGGGA